TCAGTGACAGGGCGGGTTAGACACACAGTAAAGCTCCCTCTATACATCCCTAAATAGGTACAATGTAGGTTAGAGGTAGCATAAAGCTCCCTTTACACTCTCTCCCCATGGATGTATCTCACCTTAAACCCAGTGGACTGCCCCCTGTTGTAATCTATCCATTCGCACCCCAGCCATGCCTGCGGCTGGCCAGAGAGGCCAGTGTAAAGCTATGAGCCTGTATCTACAGGCACCGTCCTCCCCCACTGCGTCAGGCAGGACTCCCCCTACAATCAGCACAGCAGAGGCTTTGATCCCCCCAGTCTGGGCTAGATTGGAAGCTGAATGGCGGAGATGAAAGGGCAGAACACCGGGCTCCCGTCTGTGCCGAGTAATTGCTTGTGATGTTAAAGCCTAAATTATTGTGTCCACGCCTCGAGAGGAAAACAAAGACCAAAACAAGCTGAATCGAGAGGAGTGATACTCCGAGAGAGGAACTCCACTCCAAGTGAATGGCAAAAGGGAGTTGGTGGGCAGCGTGCGAGTTTCAAACCAGTGGGAGATAGTGTGAGCTGATCAAAAGCAAAGAGGAAGATTTTGGTCATTGGAAGCGATTTGATTATTAATAACAACCCCTGCGATTGCTGGGCCTTCTTTCATGTCAACATGCCCTTTGGATAAGATGCTAAACCAAGGTCTCATCTGCCTGTTCAGGTGGACGTTAAAGATCATGCGGCTCTATTTGAAAAAGAGAAGGGTGTTTCTTCCTGTGTCCTGGCCAGCAATCCCCCAGATAAAACTGGTCACTCACTCCATGGCTGTTTGTGGGACACTGCTGTGAGCAACTGGCTGCCGCATTTCGCCCACAAAATACACAGTCACCACACTCTACAGTAAATCTTGTGAAGCTCTTTGAGATGGCATGATAAGGAGCTTTAACAAATGCAAGGATTATTATTATTCACGAGTGTTTGTGGGGTATTACTGTGCACAAGCTGACTCTGCATTTGCCCACAAGTCACTCCATTTTACAGTATATCCTATGAAGCACTTGAGACTTCCTCCAGACATGAATCTCTCTGTACCAAATCTAAGGATTATTATTATAATGGAGGTAGGGGAGATACTTCATTGTCGAGACTTTAAGTCAGGTCAAGCTAGTATCTCTCTCACAGGCTTTTTCTGCCCTTTTTTTAAAAAAAGGACAGATTAAAAAATAAAGATCAGAAAGCTTTTCCTGATGTGTGTGTGTGTGTGCTTGTTTGGGAGACAAACAACACTGATTATGCTCATTCACACGGATTAACTTTAAACCTACATTTTCCTGTTTGTAAATCCTGAAGCATCTCATGTCTATGAACCCGCTGCTCTCACTTGCTTGTGTGCTAATCTTGGGTTGAATAGATCACATTAAAGAAGTCAAATAGAAAGGGTTTGTGTTAGGTCAGCGAGTGTCAAACTAATCACTGTATTTAAGAGTCTCCATACCAGATAGAGTTCCACATATGTATGTTACCTAGGCATTGTCAGGAACACTGTTGGGTCCTTCGTATGAGACATTAAACTGAGGTCCCATCTGTGCCTCTTCATGTGGACGTTGGCGAAGCATTGATCGGGGTATGTGAAGCATGTGCATGCATGGGAGTGGGGGAGGGGGTGAAGTGAAGAGATTGTGTGGAGAGCGAAAGAGCAAGAGAGAGAGAGATCTAGAACGCTAGAAGAGTGCTAGAAAAGGGACAAAAGAGAGCAAAAAGAGAAATAGAAATAAATAAGAAGAATGATATAGCACCTTGTCATGTCGTTGAGACATCTCAAAGTGCTTCACAGAACATGCTGTAAAGTGGAGTGACGGTGTATCTGGTGGGCGAAATAAAAGAAATGGGAAATAAAGAAACAAGAAATAAAAACGAGAAAGATGCATCAGACTTTGCCACATTGTTGAAGAGGCAGGCCTGCTGTGTGAGCCTGGCTGAAACCACAAAGCCGGAGGTTTGTGGCCTGGTTAGGTGTGACGGTAAGCGTGACGTGTGACTGTTTGTCACACCTCTTTCACCTGCGAAGGAATCCCACGCTCAAACCTAGCTGCAGAGACCTGGGAGGTTTCCATTCCTGGCTTCACTCAGATCACCTCTATATTTCTGTCTCTCTCTCATCCCAGGGCATTAGTGTCCTGTAGCATTATAGTTAGAGCACTCGCCTTACACGAAAGAGGATGAAACCTCAAGCAAGTTTCCTTACTCCACACGCCTCTGCTTACCTAGCAGTAAGTATGAATCTGGTTGTTAGTCGATCGACGGATCGCTTTCCAGGGGAAATAATCCCTCAAAAAAAAATTGGTCACTCAATCCACGACTGTTTGTGGGACACTGCTGTGTGCAATTGGCTGCCTTGTTTCACCCACAAAATATACAGTTAATCCACTTTAAAGTATATTCTGTGAAGCACTTTGAAATCTCTCAGCAACGTGATAAGGCGCGATATCAAATGCAAAGATTTTTTTTTCTTTAAATTTCCTAACCAGAAACAGTAAGAGAGAAAGAGAGAGAGAGAGCCAAGCACATCCAGGTGCCACAAACGCCTGGCAGGAGAGATCACAGCCAAAACATCAGCTGGGAAGCCCAAGAAAGAGTAAACATTCTTTGTTTCTTTGTTGGGTTGCTGGTTACAGCAAAATAAGAAGAATTTGCTTACTGAAAAGCGAAGCAGAGATTACAGAGCAAGAGCCCATATGATTAAATTTAAAACCACATATTTCAGTGGGTCGGGAGTTGGCGCAAGGTTGCAATTTAGTTGGTGTAGGACCTGCTATTAACTGGCTAGGGGGGAAGAGGGGGAGAAATGTTGTAGTGTCATAACATTTTCTTATTTTTCAAAAAATATATAAATTTAGCAGGTAATAATTTAAGAACTGCAATAATTCCTTCATTTGATGCAGCATTTCAGCAGATCGAAAAATCACTTCTCTGGGTCAGAAGGTTGTGGGTTCAAGCCCCCTTAATGGGGTCTTTGAACTTGCAGTCAATGGCTGACGTTCCAATGCAGTGCTAGGAATGGAGGGGTGAAGTGGTGGTGGGGGGGGGTGGATGTGGGCAGGGGGAGCACTTCATCGCTGGAGGCACTGTCTTTTTGGTTGAGACATTAAAACAAGATCACGTCCATGCCTGTTCAGTTGCATTTTAAAGGTCTGTCGCTAAGCGAAAAGAGAAGGTTTCTGCGAGTACCCTGGCCAACAACTGGGTTCCAACTTACTGCTAGGTAAACAGAGCTGGTTGGAGTAAGGAAACTTGCCTAGGTTTCGCCCTGTCTGGGAATCACACCCTGGTCCTTTCGCTTTTGAGACGAGCACTCTAACAACTACGTTACAGGCCTGCAGATACAGATGTAGACACCCTCTGCCCTTCATCCTCTCAACGTAGGTTGTGTGTGATTTGTAACATTCGGTGATTGATTTTATGAAGTTGTTATGCCTGATTCAGACAAAGTGTTAGTGATTAGACTCACCATAACACAGAATCCTGAAAGCCTTGCAGTTTATTCCTAGTGTTGGATTCCACTATGCTGCTCTTATCCAAATCTGGTCAGAAACTGTATCAAGCTGCACACCCTAGTGGCCACAGGGTAAAGTACAACTTTCTCTTGCAGTAAGTACAGGCAGCATTTGTCCATTGGTCTATCTATCCTTCCATCTGTCTGCCACCCATTCAATTCCACACACAATTCCTGCGATGCAGCTCTGTATATAAACACAGGCTCACTGTGAACCCACAGTACACAGGAAACACAATACAAGTGTCAGGCTGAATCAGTCGGTGGCACTCTCGCCCTTGATTCAGTCAGAAAGTGGAAGGTTCAAGCCCCCACGATGACGGGACTTTGAATTCACAGTCTCGGCTGATGTTCCAACGCTATACTATAATATACTTGTGATGAGACATTAATTTGATGTCTTGCCACAGCCATTAAGTGACAATCAATTTTGTCTGGGGGAATCATGAGCTTGGACACTGGGAGAGAGAAACTTCCCTTCTTTATTCTAATACTGTTGTGGGATCTTTAACTTCCACATGAACAGCCATAACAGCCTCGGTTTAAGGTCTCATGTGAAGGACAGACTGCAACCTGGCAATTCAATGCTGCCCAGAACTGCACCGGAGCGCTGCCTCGACTGCGAGCTTAAAGCCTTCTGTCTCCGAGTCAGGAATGCAATTGACTGAGCCAAGCTGGCACCTCCACCCTAATAATATTGATAATCCATACATTTGAAACAATGACACGAATACTTGCATTTAATATAGCACCTTACATGTTTTTAAGATGTCTCAAAGTGCTTCACAGAATATACTGTAAAGTGAATTACTGCATACATTGTGGGCGAAACACGGCAGCAATTGTGCACAGCAGTGCCCACACACAGTCTCGGTTTGAGTGATCAAATTTTTTTTTGAAGGAATTATTACCCCTGGAAAAGTGATCTGCCAATCAACTAACAACCAGATTCCTACTTACTGCTAGGTAAACAGGGGCGTGGGGAGTAAGGAAACTTGCCTAACGTTTCGCCCTGTCTGGGAATCGAACCCAGTTACCATTAAGCTACAGGACTCCACAATATGGCACCTTATCACGACATAGACATCTCAAAGTGCTTCACAGAAAATACTGTAAAGTGGATTGACTGTATTTTGTGGGAAAAATGCGGCAGCCAATTGCACACAGCAGTGTCCCACAAACAGTCGTGGATTGAGTGACTACATTTTTTTTATTTCAACAAGGATTACACTCGGAACACGAACCGCCAATCGACTAACAAGTGGATTCCTACTTACTGCTAAGTAAACAGAGGCAGCAGAGTAAGAAAACTTGTCTAAGGTTTCGCCCTGGCCAGGAATCGATCCCGGGTCCTCTCGCTTGCGAGCAAGAGAACTACCACGCTACAGGACTCTGCCTGTCCTCTGGATTCAATCTGGTCATTGTACATTCGTCAGACACTGACCGACCAGGAAGGGAAGGGTACAGTAACTCACTCTCACTGGCGCTTTTACAGGGGTCTTCACTGGTTTCACAGCCTCCTTCATGTCATCAACATCATCATCATCTTCTTCCTCTTCTTCTTCCTCCTCATCTTCTTCCCTAACACACAACGCGATAATCAGGAAGCAATTAGTAAATACAAATGTATTGTACAAGTGTGCTCTGCCCCACTGGAGAGACGCTGTATAAATGCAGCTCATTTTGTACCCAGTTTTTTGTGTTAGAGGAAGCTATCACAAGAGGACATAATCAATATTATAATAAACCTTACAATATAATTCAAAACGCATTTAAAGTGAATTGAGTGTATATTTTGTGGGGGAAACCTAGCAGCCAATTGCTCACAGCAATGTCCCACAAACAGTCGTGGTCTAAGTCACCAAATTAAAATTGTTTTAAAGGGATTATTACCCCCAGAAAGCAATCTGCCAATTAACTAACAACCGGGTTCCTATTTACTGTTAGGTAAACAGAGGCATGTGGAGTAAGGAAACTTGCCTAAGATTTTGCCCTGCCCAGTAATCAAACCCAGGTCCTCTCACTTGCAAGACAAGTGGTCTAATCAATATACTACAGGACTCCACAATAATAATCCTTTTTTTGAAACACCATATTTTATGTCAACAACATGTCTCAAAGCACTTCACACGATTTGCTGCAAAATGTAGTTAGTGACTCCGTGTTTTGTAGGCGAACAGTGTCACTCTCAAAATGTCCTGCATACAGCCATGAACGACTAATTTTATTGGGGGATTGTTGGCCAGGACACCAGGAGAGAAACTCTTCTCTTTCTGAAGGCCACAGATGCAGAATCAATTGTGATGCTTAAAAGGGCAATGGAGAGGTACTTAGGCAGCAAGGGGTGTTAAGGAATATGTAGAAAAGTCAAGGAAATGGGATTAAAAAGGCTGGCAATTATGTAACAAATTGAACAGAATGGAACAAGTTCCTTCTTAAAGGGAAAATAATAACAATCATTAGCAGTTATCTCCTGGCCTCAGTGAGCTTCTCGTATTTCTTAAATTAACATTAATTTCTTAAATCATTCCATTCAAAACTGTATCTGGCCCTGGTGAGAGACTGCATCTGTCATCTTGGCTCAGTCAGTCATGCTCTTGTTTTAGGAGTTGGTAGGTTGTGGGTTCAAACCTACGTCAGAGCTTTGAAATCACGATCGAGGCTGACACTCCAGTACTGTGCTGGATGGGTGGGGTGAGGGAGAATAGTGCATTGTCAGAGGCCCAGTACTTCATTACATGATAAAGTGCCATATCAAACGGAAGGATTAATTTTTATTATTATTATGTTATTACAGTTTAAATCACTCTGTAGAGATAGTTTCTAAGTGGTTTTCAGTGATGGTCAGTCAGATCAGTAACACTGCCACATTACATAAGAATTGATGTTACATTTCTTAGTCTATTTGAGCTTCCCAACCTGGCTACTTTGTGCAGGAGATTGATATTTTGTTCACCAAGTATATTGTCATGCCATTTTTGAATAGTATTATTAACAGACCCAGTTGCACTGATGATTATAGGAACTATGTTTGTTTTAAACTGTCACATAAGTCCACATTCAATTTGTAGATCAATATATTTCCTGATCTTCTCCAGTCCCTTTTTTATTATTATTATTATTATTATTGTGTTGTGTTGTGTAGGCTGCCAGTACAGTCATGTGCAAAATGATGCACTGAAACCTACACAACATACTCGCTGTGTGCATAGTGGTAAGAGCACCCGCCTTGCAAGCGAGAGGACCTGGATTCAATTCCCAGGCGGGACAATGCAAGTTTCCTTACCCCACGTGCCTCTGTTTACCTCGCAGTAAGTAACAACCAGTTCCTAGCCGATTGGCGGATTGCTCTCCGGGGATAATAATCCTTTTTAAAAAAAATTTGTTCACTCAATCCACGACTGTTTGTGGGACACTGCTGTGCACAATTGGCTGCCGTGTTTCATCCACAAAATATACAGTCAATTCACTTTACAGTATATTCTGTGAAGCGCTTTGAGATGTCTCAGACGTGATAAAGTGCCATATCAAATGCAAAGGATTATTATTAATATATTCTAACTCCCTGCAAAACTCAATGTGGCATTCACAGGAGCGTGCCCACCGCCCCCTGTGCCTCGCCCAGCTTCCAGGCCAATGTAACAACACCCTGAAATGCCCGGCGCCCATTTACAGATAATAACAGGGCAGCAAGGGCCAATTTCAAGGCTGGAATGCAATCTCGGCACATTTGGGCAACGTTTATGAATATCTTATGCTCATGCATGCATCCCTACCTGTGCCCCTCGCTGGGGTTACAGCCTGTAATCACTGACAGGTAACTATTACACTGCACGACCAGACAGTTATCCAGGCCTACGGCACAAGGGAGTTTCTCCCGGGATCCCGGCCGAGAATTCCCCCCCAGATATATTGGCCATTCCCTTGATGTGCATTGTTTGTGGGACAGGCTGTGCACAAAATTACTGCCAAATTTACTAAAAGTTTTGCCCACAAAATATACAGTCAATTCACTTTACAGTATATTCTGTGAAGCGATTTGAGATGTCTAGAAGACATGAAAAGCACTATATCAAATGCAAGGATTATTATTATTATTGATAAGACGGTATATAAAATGCAATTATTATTATTATTATTAAGAGAGATAGAGGCAACAAAGGGACTCAGATTCACAAGAATGAGAGGAGCAGCACAGGTGGGCAGGCCATAACTAATGGCTTTATCTCCAGAGGAATACAATGTAAATGTAGATTTAGTATAAATGGTGTTGCATTTCGACCATATTTGGAGTCCTGCATACAGTTCTGGTCACATTACAGAAATGATATTGTAGCGTTGGAGAGAGAGAGAAAGGACAGTGTAGATTTACAGGGATGTTATCAGGAAGTATGGATATAATAATCCTTACATTTGATATAGAGCCTTATCATGTCATTGAGACATCACAAAGCGCTTCACAGAATACACGATAAAGTGAATTGACTATATATTTTGTTGGCGAAATGCAGCAGCCAATTGCGCACAGCAGTGTCCCAAACAATATAGGAGAGACTTTCCTCTCTGGAAATGGAATGATTTCAGAGGGGACCTGATGGAGTTGGATCTTTAATGTGACAGGCAGGGCATCGGTTTAATCCGAAGGACAGCACCTCCGACAATGCAGCACTCCCCCTGCACTACACTGGAACCTCAGCCTAGATTGTGAGTTCAAAGTTCTGATTTGGGACTTGAGGCCACAACCATCTGAGTCCGAGACAAAGAAGGGTGGGCGGACGAGGTAGAAAAACTGATGAAGGAAAACTCACTCTTCTTCCTCCTCCTCCTCCTCCTCCTCCTCCTCATCATCATCATCATCTTCATCATCATCTTCGTCATCGGCATCTTCATCGCCTTCCGTGCCAGCTTTGGTAGCCGTCACTCCTTTCCCCCCTTTCTCCAACTGGAACAGTTTCTACAAAGAAAGAGAGAAACGGTCAGGGAACGCCATCTTCAGAACATGTGTGTGTCGAGAGGGGAAGGGGAGATACGAGAAAGATTTTACATACATACATCCAAGCTGAGTGAGATACGAGCAACAAGTCCACTTGTTACATTGTCTAGAAACCTCTGGAGAGACCAAGTCATGAGGGAGTTTAGAAAGAAAAAAACTCACATTTTAATAATAATAATTCTTGCATTTGATACAGCACGTTATCACTTGGTTTTTAATCCTGTATCTTAGACTGTATTAAGATCGAGGCTCTCCTGATTGGCTTCCGTCAGCCCCTCCACACCGCAGGCATTGACACTATCACCATCCATGGTTGCACACACCACCTTGCTAAGCCAGTCCGGAACCTTGAGATCTTGTTTGACCCTCAACTATCCTTTCTACCCCACATCTGTGCTATGACCTGCTCTGCCTTCCCCCACCTCCTCAACATCGCCTGGCTCCCCCACAGTCTCACACCACAGGCAGCCGAAACCCTCATACATGCATTCATAATATCCAGGCTCGACTACGCAGGCTCCTTGCTTGTCGGCCTCCCCAACTCCTCCCTCCATAGGCTACAGATCATCCAGAAATCTGCAGCCCATGTCCTCTCCCACACCAGACTCCCTGACCCTATCATGCCCATCCTCGCCCGACTCCACTGGCTTCCCATCACACAGAAGATACAGTTCAAGATCCTGGTTTCAAGATCCTGGTCCTCACCTTCAAAACCCTCCATGGCCTTGCTCCCCCCTACCTCTGGGATCTCCTAACCCCCTACCAACCTACCCGCTCCCTCTGCTCAACAGGCTCCAGCCTGCTTCACTGCCCCCGCTTCGCCCGCCCCACCATTGGCGGGCGGGCCTTCTGCCACTCTGCCCCCACCCTCTGGAACTCCATTCTGCAGTCCCTAACTCTTGACCCCTCCTTTGCCTTCTTCAAGATCCATCACAAGATCCTCTTCCTCGACTGTGCCTTTGGTCACCCCCCCTTCCCCTCTACCCTCCCCAATCCCGACCCCCAGCTTGGGTCCAAAACACTGACTGTCCAGCACTTTGGGACGTCCTCTCGACGTGAAAGGCGCTATACAAATGTAACTTTGTTGTTGTATCATCCAGATTGCCTTACCCACCAAGAGAGGGCTCAAACCCTCACTTATCCAATGTCAAATGACCAACTCATGACTATCCTTGGAGCGGAAGAGGTAAACAGGATCTCCTTGCAGTGGTGATGTCTCCAAGGTGACATGCAGGGCACTGCTGATGACAGCAAGGCCCAGCTTGGCTCATTGGCAGGACCTGAAAGGGTAGACCAGTAACTGGGGAAGAGATTCTTCCCTCTTAGCTCCTGTTAACCCTGCAAGCCAAAGCCCTAATGGGTAGAGTGGTCCTAGCTGGGCAAGCAGTGGGAAAGCTTGCCAGAATTTCACCCCCAAATTGACATGAATTTGCTGCTCAGATATGGTTTGTGGGATGGCACTAGCACAGATTCGCTGTTTTGTTTGCTCCACAGCACTGTTCTACCATATTATATTCTGTAAAGTCTTTTGAGCTATGAAAGACATTTCACAAATGCAAGTAATTATTACTCCTAATAGTAATAATAATAATCCTTAAATTAGATATGGCTCCTTTCATATCTGGAGGACGTCCCAAATCACTTCACAGGATATACTGTAAAGTGCAGTGACTGTTTTATGGGAAATACAGCAGTAATCAGTCATGGAATGAGTGACCAATGTTTTATTTGGGGGATTGTTGACCAGGACACCAGGAAAGAGAAACTCCCTTCTCTTTTCAAATAGTGCCATGGAATCTTTAACATCCACCTGAAGATGTAGGCAGCAACTGTTTAACATTTTATTCGAAGGACGGCACCTCCGACAATGAAACACACACCCAGCACTGCACTGGAGGATGTGTAATTCCAAGTCCCGATGTGGGGCTTGAACCCACAACTTTCTGACTCAAGAGGCGAGAGTGCCACCAAATAAGTCAGGCTGACACACATAAATACCTTCACTTTCCAAGTAGCCATCCATCCATCAATCCATCTCCCTTTGGCATCTCTCAATTGAACCTGTCTTCTGGGGCAGCTCACCCCACATTTTCACCAACTCCCAGTGGTGAAAAAAAATCCTGGCCTCATTTATCTCGGTTCAGAACAGGGAATGAATCTCGGACATTCCTGGGTCTTTAGGAACAATAAGGGTCCAAGCTAGTGAGCCCTCACTCAACACTACCTGTCCCCCGCCCCTCACAGACCAACATTAAAGTGCTTATGATTACTTGAGCTCCATTAGAAGCACCAGTTGCTTATCGACTCCCCCGATCTGCTACAGATTCCTGTGGTTTTCAGTTTAATTAGAAGTCTCTCGTGTGAAACTTTTTTTGTCTCGAGAAAAAGCTTTCTGAAAGTCTAAATGGGCTACATGATTATTTCGGCTACAGTGAAAACACTGGGGCCCACATCCCCCTGACCACTAAGTGCAACCACTTTGAAGAAGTTCAGCTATGAGGAGACCCCTATCATAAGTCCAAATCGTCAACGTTGCTACACTTACTCCTAAGAGGAATTTATTAGAGAATGTTAGCCATTAGTCATAGAAAAGACCTTTCAACCCTTATTCTATGTTGGTGCTCGCTCCCCCACTGGAACTCTCTATTTTAATCCCATTCCCCTGCTCTTTCCCCATCGTGTGCTGGTGCTTGCTCCCCCACTACAGCTCTCTCATCCCAATACAATGAGATATCATTGTATAGGGATGAGGGATAATAATAATAATAATCCTTGCATTTGATATAGCGCTTTTCACGTCGGGAGGACGTCCCAAAGCGCTTCACAGAACACACTGTAAAGTGAATTGACTGCATATTTGTGGGAGAATGCGGCAGCCAATTGCGCACAGCAATGTCCCACAAACAGTAGTGGATTGAGTGAGCAATTTTTTGGAGGGGGAGAGATTATTACTTTCGTAAAGAGATCTGCCAATCCACTAATGACCGGGATCCAACTTACTGCTAGGTAAACAGGGGAGTATCGCCCTGTCCGGGAATCAAAACCGGGTCCTCTCACATTATAAGGTAAGTGCGCTAACTACGCTTTGGGACTCCACCAAAATATACAGTCAATTTACCCGCAAAATATGGTCAATTCAATTTACAATATATTCTGTGAAGTGCTTTGAAACGTTTCAACAACATGATAATGCGGATTATGAAATGCAAGGATTATTATTATTATATTATAAAAATCCTCTAGTTAAGTCGCTCATTCAAAAGCAACAAAGTGTGATGTGAGAAGACGCTGTAAAATTACAAACTCTGTTATCACCTTTTGCTGAGCAAGACTCGCACGTTAAGTGATCTCCTCCTCCCTACCTTCGAAGGGTGTAGAGCACCAGGGGGTGACTCACGTTTAACGGGCATTTTTTTCATGGCACAGCTGTCACCATCCTCCTCAGATTCCGACTCCGACTCGGGCAGCCCTAGAAACAGGAAACCAGGAGACAGTGAGGGCAGGGCATCCAGGCAAAACCGGGAGAGAGGCTCAAATCAAAACCAGCCATTGAGCCATTCAGCAGCCAGGTTCTTTAATCACACCAAATCAGGCTCGAGATGTGTCAGACCACACCCCAGATTACCACATGCAGGTTGTTCACAAAGTCCTGTTACCCACCTCTGTTTTCCTTCTTACAATGAATATTTATTTTCTGTCACAGATGAGTTGAGTGTAACTATGTCTGACACCAGTAACTTCCTCCTCACTCCATCCATATTTCTGAAGATGTCACACCGAACATGGCGATGGATCTGATCATTATCTGCCATGCAAATGACCGATCCTCTGGATGTCTAAATACAGTTAAACGCTTATACTGTATACAAGTACTTCATTGTATACAGTACAAGTGTTTAACTGTATTTAATCTTCTAAATACAATTATCATCATGCTTCCACATGTTTCAGTGAAAAAAAACATGGAGGTAACACTATGCCACACTGGACTAGCAATGTGATTGGATACACGTGCTTAGGACCGGGTGTGTGGGGGAAAGAGAGAGGAACAGGAATAATACTATCCGTTGTATAAAGAAAAATTTGGTCAGCTGATCCACAGATCTTTATGGGACACTACTGTACACAATTGGTTACTGCGTTTCACCCTCAAAAAAAGTCAACCACTTTACAATAGATTCTGAGAAGCACTCGGAGACGTCTCAACAGTGTGATAAGGAGTTATATCAGATGCAAGGATTATTATTATAAACACATGAGGTGGCAGAGCCTGACTTAGATGCCAACATTTGCATTTTGTCAGGGGGAGGGATAAAGAAGGGGTTCAAAAGCGTGGTCAAAAGATAGGTCTTAAGAAGGGTTTTAAAGGTGGGGAGAGGGGGCAAGGAAGAGGGACACTGAGTCAGAGGGATGGTGGGGGGGGAATTAGGTAAGAGACATGAAGCACACACTGAGCCAGGTTGGTAGGATTAAAGGAGGTCACAGAAGTAAGGTGGGGTGAGACGATGGAGGGAAATGTTGGGGAAACACCTATATGAAGCAGAAGGTTGTTGGTTCAAACCCCACATGAGGACTTTGAGCTCACAGTCTAGGCCCACCATTCAAGGGAGCGCTGTATTGTGTGAGGCACCATCCTTCAGGAGATGTTAAACCAGGCCATTATTTTGTCTGGCGACCACTTCACGAGTTTTGATAGCAGGCCACACACTTAATATAGATGCAAATGCTTAATAATAGCTCAAAATCAAATCTTACACTTGTACATACACAAAATAAAGTATATAGACATTCACTAAAATTAGGTTAAATAAAAACTCAGGGAGCAGACGTTTATTCGATATTTATTAATTTATTCACATTTTGATAAGAATGTGAGAAGCTCACTCAATGGGATGAATGAGAGCGCTGATGTGCATTAACCAGACAACTGAAGTCAAGCATTGTCTCCGTTGTTGCAATGCAGAGTACTGCTGCAAGGTGGTCATCAGTCATCACAGATCTGGATTTTGAATTATTGAATTTCATCACAGAAAATGTCTCCTTCCATATGCATTTTGATCCAAACAGCACAAGTACCCTCCGGGCATGAGCCTTTATTTTTGGAAAGGTATATTCATTAAGAGAGGCGTAAAAACTGGAAAGCGGCACTGATTTGAATTGGTCCGCAAGCAATGGATCACATTGCAGGTCAATAGGCTCGAGTTGGAGATCAAATGGGGCTTTGTCAACATCAAATGAGAATGGTGAAGAGACCAAAGACAGGTCATTTTCGATCAAATTGAAATCCTGGAATCGGCGAGAAAATTCGCCATGCAAGTCAAGTAGTGATAAAGTATACTTTTTAAGGCTGTGATCGCAAACAGTAATGCTGCAAATTTGGAAAGTGGGCAAACTGCCTGTTTCCTATCTGATGCAATAAAAGAAATAATTTCATCATAAATGACTTGAAACTGCAATACAAATCATGCACAAAGGCCCCCTTCCATTGCAGCTTTGAATTCAGTTCATTCATGTGGCCCATGATATAAACAGCAAATGTGAAATCAGAGAGCCAATTTGCATCATTCTGCTGTGGGAAATCTGAACCTTTTTGTTTCATGTCCAAAAATAAATCAGTCTCTGTTCTCAGTTCCCACACTATTTTCAAGACCTTTCCTAAACTAAGCCATCTTACATCCATGTGCTTGGATTCCAATTCCTCAAGCAGTTACAAATTGCCTGTGGTTTAATCCTCTTGCTCGAACGTAGTTAACAACTTTCGTAACTGTGTCCGCGACATTGCTTAGTTTTAGAACACTCTTACAGAGGACCTCTTGGTGGATAATGTAGTGTAGAAAAATAGTATTCTGTTCTGGATTTGTTTCTTTGACTTGATCTTGAATTCTTTTCAGTAACCCAACATTTTGCCTGTCAGATTTGGGCTTCCATCGGTGGTCACATTCACCAATTTTTTTCACTACAATTCTAATTTTAGGATACACTTATTTACTGCCTCCAAAAAGTCTTCTCCACTTGTTATATCTTTCATTGACTGCATTGATGCCAATTCTTCTGTGAGCTCAAAATGTTTGGTGATACCTCGAATAAAAATTATTAACTGGGCTGTGTCTTTGACATCACGACTTTCATCGAGTGCCAGTGAAAAACATGCAATTTTTGTAATTTATTTTGTAACTACACACTGTTTTATTTTCTTTATTTATTTCATTTTAATTTATTTTATTTTATTTTCCACCCACATTGGCAAAAAAAATGTAGAAGTCTATTCTTTGTTGATTATTCAGCCTTCAGCGTCCATTTTCCGCTTCTTTGATAAACTCATTTTGAATTAACGTCCATTTCAGTGAAACGTATTGCCAGTTACCGCACACGCGTTTGAAAATTTGCCGATCCGTACATTTCTGACGTCAGCCTGATTCAACACTTAAGGGAGCGTGTGCACGACTAAGCAGTGTGATTCGCTGATGTTTCTGGTCTGATTCAAGTGTGAAATTTGTGCGACTTTCTGACTGAACAAACTATAATTTTTTCTATTGCTAGACAGGGCCGGACAGAATCATTTGGCGGGCTGGATATGGCCGTGGGCCATATTTTGCCTCCCCTGCATTAAACTGAGATCCCATCTGTCGCCTGTTCAGGTAGACATTAAAGATCCCGCGATGCTGATCGAAAAGGGCAGGGAGTTTCTCCTGATTGCCTGGCCAAGGATGGCCCAGATAAAATCAGCACCACTGATCTGTTCTTACAGAAAGACATCCATCCTGCTCCTCCGCTGGCCACGCCACACCATGTCCTCAGATGGAGTGCGTCATTCTCGTGTGATTCTCTCAAAGCAATATGCCCGGTGCTCAATGTGCCATTGGCCAAAACAGTTACTCTTGAAACTCCTCAATGCTCATAGCCACCCTCGCCATCCATGATATCCAGCCTCACCTGCAGGCACAGAACAAGATCTGAGAACAGCATATACTCACAGCATGGAACAATTCTAGTATCAATTGGCAACAGAGATATTGCACAAGATGGTACACTTCCCCCACACCTGAATATCACTTAGTCGGCCTGTGAGACCAGGTGCTCTGAGAATAATTTAAGAAAATCTTATATTCAGTCTTCACTCGGGTGTCGTTTCCTGCAGTTCTTAAAAAGGAGCTGAGTGGCTTCCAAATTCAGGTTGCATTTTATAATATTTGGATTTTCATATAGTACCTTATCAGGTTGTTGATAAGTCTCAAAGTACTTCACAGGATATACTGTAAAGTGGGAGTGATTATATGTTTTGTGGGTGAAACGCCATGGAGTGAGTGACCAATTGTATTTGAAGGATTGTTGGCCAGGACACCAGGGGAGAAAAACTCCTTTCTCTTTTCCCAATAGAGACATGGGATCTTTAACATCCACCTGAACAGGCAGTCAGAAGGTGGGTTTAACATTTCATCCGAAGGATGGAATTTTGTGGGATGTCACTGTACACAAATTGGCTGCCGGTTTCACCTGCAAAATACATAATGTCTGGTTTACAAAATATCCTGGGAAGCGCTTTCAGACATCCTCGCGACGTGAAATGTAGGGATCATCATTAATATTATTTTTTTTAAAAAACACAGAATCCTGACCAAATCTGAAACTTAAAAAAGAGGTCTCGCAAGCTGAGATGAGGTGGAATTTCAGGTGTCCAGGCTTGTGGCCAAGACTGTTCTTTTAAATTTCCTTAACGCATGCAATACAAACAGACAGACGCACAGAGACTCACCAGAATGATTTCTGACGCAACCAGCAACATAGGAATCATCTCCCTCCAGGGTGTCAATGGTAAGAAATCCTCCTGCATATCCTCTTTTAATGAGTGGATCCTGGAGTGGTGGAAATCCAGTCGAATCCTGGAATGACACGAGTTGTGCGATTCTGGATCGTCGCAAACCCTCGGGATCTGGGAGCAGCACGTCCCGCCTCAGTGCCTTGGTGGGCCTGGCGGTTTGACAAGGGAAGAACTTTTCACTCCATCGGCTCGAGCTGGGGGAGCAGGGTGTTGTGGTCGGTGCTCTGAGAGAGCAAGGTGCAAAGCCACTGTATTGCATGGCCTGTTCCATTCCCGCAACCGTCCACTGCTCAAGCAATCTGAAGCCATTGGCACAGGCAGATAAAGAGGAATATAGTTTAACCATCATAAAGCACGCAGATCACTTGTAGCTGTGTTGTTGAGCATTCGCCTCGCAAGCAAGAGGACACAGGTTTCATTCTCAGGCAGAGCAAAACCGTAGGCAAGTTTCCTTACTCCACACGCCACTGTTTACCCAGCAGTAAGTAGGAACCTGGTTGTTAGTCAATTGGCAGATCGCTTTCAGGGGTAATAATCCCTCAAAAAAAGTTGGTCACTCAATCCAAGACTGTATGTGGGACATTGCTGTGCACAATTGGCTGACACATTCGCCCTGAAATATACTGTCAATTCACTTTACAGTGTAGCCTGTGAAGTGCATTGAGGATTCTCAACAATGAAATAAGGCGCTATATCAAATGCAAGGATTGTTATTATTATAGATCTGTCAAGATATACAACTGGCTCCTCTCACAAGACAATGAATTGCTCTACCCCAATACATCATTAGTGTCTCTCAATGTCCCAGCCAACAATCTTCCACACTAAATCTGGCCAGTCACCCCAAGGCTCTTTGTGGGAACCCTGCTGTGCCAAAAAAAAGTCTACCACTCTTGCTTTCAAAAACAGTCACTACACTTGACAAATACAATGTGAGCAAGAATGTATTTGAGATGTTTCTAAGTGATGCAAGTTCTTTCTTACTCTTTCTAACACCCCCACTCCCCCCACCCTCACCCTGTAAATGCTCTGAGATTAAAAGTTTCAATGGGCTACTTTATTTTATATTGAACAACTTAACAACATTGAAAACCTAATATTGGTGTTAGCCTGGCTCAGCAGGTACTACTTTGGCCTCCGAGTCACAAAGTAGTGGGTTTAAACTTTAACGTTGAGACTCTGAACTCAGTCTAGGCTGACACTCCAAAACAGAGGCGTTCTGTAGCCTATTGGTTAGAACACTCGCCTCGCAAGCGAGAGGACCCAGCTTCGATTTCCAGGCAGGACGAAACCTTAGGCAAGTTTCCTTAATCCACACATCTCTGTTTATCCAGCAGTAAGTAGGAACCCAGTTGTGAGTTGATTGGTGGATCACTTTCCGGGGTTAATAATCCATCCAAAAGAAAACAAATATATTTGGTCACTCAATCCACAACTGGTTGTAGGACACAGTCACTGCACTTCACAGTAAATCCCGTGAAGGGTTTCGAGAAATCCTCTCAATGTGAATGGCATTATACAAATGCAAGCATTATTATTCAGATTAATAATACCCCATTTATCACCACAGATCATTTACTCCCAGTCTCTCACCTTTTCTCCAAAACCTTAGTGCTCAGACTTCTAGCATCTTATAGTAATAGACAGCAGGGTCCTCAGGGACTGAAAAGGCAGTTGATCATTCATCCCGATCCCCAAACACTGAGAGTAGAGCTTTACAAACAGCCCCCAATCAATGTGGACTGTGCACATGGTGTCCACATGTTACCCCATGTGTTTTGTTTTTTTACAGTGCACTGACCAACAACGGAAACACATGAAAAAATGATAATTGTATTAGAAGCACTTCAGTACAGGGGTAACAGGACTTTGTGGACTTCCTGTACAGTCAATCAGAGCCAGTCACTGAGGAGCAGGAAACGTACCCACGATGTGCTCTCCGCTGATGTAGACAGGACCCGAGCCAGATTTCAGGTGGAACGAGACCGGAGGCGACACTTCAAACCCTCCCAGACTCATCTGAAACACAAGACTTTGTTAGGCGAAAGAAGACCACGGTCCATCTACAACCACAACTTGCATTTATATAGCACCCTTCACGCGGGGTAGGGTCCACCATCCTGGTAATCATTTGACATGTCGTGTCCCAAACTATATACACAAAGCAAGATTTCCTCACACCGTGTGCTGACTCCAAACAAAGAATGAGAACGTTAAACAACAACTTGTATTTATAAAGTGCCCTTCACGCGGGGTAATGTCGGGAGTGCTTGACAGTGGCGGAGTCTGACACTGAGCCAAGGGGAGAGGGGCGAGAGAGGTGACAGTAAGCACATTCAAAAAGGAAGATCTTTATGCGGGATTTGAAAGTGGCAAGGGAGGGGGCAAGGTGGAGGGATTCAGTGTGAAAGTTCCAGAGTTTAAAGATCCTATTCAAAAAGAGAAGGGAGTTTATCTCTCCTGGTGTCCTGGCCAACAATCCCCAGATAAAGCTGGTCGCTCATTTCATGGTTCAGGGCTGTGAAGGACAAGTTTAGTTCAGACACCAGGAAGTGTTTCTTTACACAAAAATGGAAATCGACAGTTGGAACGGAAGTTACAGAAGTTGAGGCAGGGACTCTGGGACTCATCGAAAACCAGTTTGTCGCAGGAATGGAAGGACTGAAGGACAGAACTAAATGGGCCAAAGGGCCTGCTTCACCTGTACAGCTTCTGTGGAGTGACATGCAAGACTCAGACCCAGACCGGGGTGGGGCGTTGATAGGGCAGAGAGCTTTTATCTAGATTAACTTCCTCTTTGATCACACTTACAGTCACTCTCCTACACCCACCCTTCCTCCTCTCCACCCCTCCTGATCCTAACCCCAGCTCAGGTGGAAATCCCTGAGTGTCCAGCTTTGGATGTGCTATAGGTGATATACAAATGTATATTTGTATACGCAGGGAACGCTAGTCCCCGCAAAGGGCACTATATAAATGCAAGTTGTTGTTTATACAAATGTAAATTGTGGCTATGATGGGAGCCAGGAGTCTGTTAGTGAAGACATGGAACCCAGATGGTGGGTGTAAACTACTAGTGCAAGAAGCAGAGACACTTACTGTGGTCAGGATTGAGGGTCTCAGAGTGGTTAAAGGCACTTTGGTCATTTTCCCGCTCGAGTTCATGGCTTCCAGCTCGATCAGATGTACCTCATCTTTGGCCTCGGAGCCCACACACACCTACACACAGGGCAAAGAGTCAAGAAAACCCTCCTATAAATATAATGGGAGTCCTGTAGCTCAGTGGTTAGAGCAAGCGAGAGATCTGGTTTCAATTCCCGGCAGGGTGAAACCTTGGGTAAGTTTCCTTACTCCACACGCCCTCAAGAAAAAAAAACAATAATAAATTGGTCATTTCAATCCACGACTGTTTGTGGGACACTGCTGTGCACAACTGGCTGCTGCGTTTTGCCCACAGATATACAGTCAATTCACTTTACAGTATATTCTGTGAAGCGCTTTGAGACGTCTAGAAGACGTGAAAAACGCTTCACGTCTTCTAGACGTCTCAAAGCGCTTATTATAATAATTATTAATAATTATTATTTTATTATTAATTATTATAATAATCCTTACATTTGATATAACGCCTTATCACATCTTCAATTGCACACAACAGTGTCCCACAACCAGTCATGGGTTTGGAGGGATTATTACTGAAAGTGATCCGCCAATCGACTAACAACCAGGTTCCGACTTACTGCTAGGTAAACAGAACATGTGGAGTAAGGAAACTTGCCTAAGGTTTCACCCCCTCAGGAATCAAACCCGGGTCCTATTGCTTGAGTGCTCTAACCACTACTCCACAGGACTACCTGGTTGTTAGTTGATTGGCGGATCATTTCCTGGGTGTAATAATCCCTTAAAAAAAATCCACTCAATCCACAACTGTTTGCAGGACACTGCTGTGCCATTTGGCTACTGCATTTCGCCCACAAAATATAGTCAATTCACTTTATAACATATTCTGTGAAGTGTTTGAGACGTCTCTCAACGACATGATAAGGTACTATATCAAATGCAAAGTTTATTGTTATAATTCAGCCTCCCGACATAGCCCATGAAACCGCCAGGATTTGAACCAGCTATCTATTGGTCCGTAAACCAGCTTTATTAATTCCGACACTGCCTGGCTCACATCCCGTGATGAGCAAAAAAAACCAATATAAATACAAGCTGCTCTATTTTTCGTCCGTAAGAAATCAGAGGGAGTTTTGGAAGATTCAGTTTTGAAGCCACGTACATTTACAGAAATAGAAACTGGCTTTGAAATTAGACCAAATTGAACAGGTTTTCAAATCTTCTTCACAATGGCTTTAAACCAATGGTCTAAAGACTAAGATCTGGAGAATTCTGAGGTCTGATTTTACCTGATGCCCAAGTAATACAAGGCAGCCACCTGGTGGTAACAAGCAGATACTACAACAGAGGAATCACAGGTAAATTGGTTCAGAAGGCAGTTTGCTCCATTGCACACTCTGTAAAGGGACCTGAGTTTTTCCCCAGTGTCCTGGTCAACATCCTAACTTTATTTGATCATTCATCTAAGCTGTACTTTCAGCCACTATGCCCCGAAACCCTGGAATACTCTCCCTCTATTCCTCTGCCTTGCCCCCACCTTTCCTACCTTCAGGTCAACAACAACAAGATTGCATTTATAGAGCGCCTTTCACGTCGGGAGGACGTCCCAAGGCGCTGGACAGTTGGGTCGGGACCCGAACAGTGGGGAAATGGTCAGGGTGAGGGGAGGGGAGGGAGGGAGCGAGGAGGGGGGAAATGGTCAGGGTGAGGGGGGGAAGGGAGGGAGCGAGGAGGGGGTAGAGAGTCGAGAGAGGAGCTGAAGGCTCGGTCAAAGAGAAAGGTCTTGAGACCGGCCTTGAAGGAGGAAAGGGAGGAGGCGGCGAAGGCACTGGGGGATAGAGTTCCAGAGCCTCGGGGCTGAGAGGCTGAAGGCCCGGCCACCGATGGTAGGGCGGTTGGGGCGGGGGATGTGGAGCAGACCGGAGCCAGAGGAACGGAGGGTACGGGCAGGTAGGTAGGGGGATAGTAGGTCGGAGAGGTAGGAGGGAGCGAGGCCGTGAATGGCCTTGTAGGTGAGGATGAGGATCTTGAATTCGATCCTCTGGGGGATGGGGAGCCAGTGGAGGCGAGCGAGGGTGGGAGTGATGTGGTCCCGAAGCCTGGTGCGGGACAGTACACGAGCTGCAGAGTTCTGAATGACCTGCAGTGTGGAGGGAGGTGCCGGGAAGGCCGGCGAGGAGAGAGTTCCCGTAGTCCAGCCTTGAGATGATAAAGGCGTGGACCAGAGTTTCAGCCGCGTGAGGGGTGAGGTAGTGCCGTAGTCTGGCGATGTTCCGGAGGTGATGGAAGGCGGTGCCAGTTGTGGCGGTGCCAGTTAAGGCGCGGATATGAGGAAGAAAGGACAGCTCAGGGTCGAACAGAACATTTTGCAGCAATTGCGTGTAGTGACTGTCAGTAAAACGCAACAGCCATTTGTCTACAAAGTTTCACAAACATCCATAACAACAAGTTGCATTTATATAGCGCCCCTCACCCAGGCTAACATCCCAAAGCACTTGAAAGTGGCAGACTCTGACGCACAGGATGGGGGAGGTGACCGTGGGTACGGTCGAAGAGAAAGGCCTTCAGGCTTGACCTGAGCCAGCCGAGCGGAGGCAACGGGTGATGGAGGCAACGGGTGATGGGCAAACCACATCAGGTCCACCATTGATGCGCGTGCACGTGAGGTAATTTGAATCGTTTTCAAATCCCTTCATGCCCTCACTCCTCCCTAGCTTTCCAATTTGTTCATCTTCCACTCCATCACCCGTTGCCTCCGCTCGGCTGGCTCAGGCCATCGGTGGCTGTGCTTTCAACCACTATGCCCCGAAGCTCTGTATATTTTGTAAGTGAGCTCTGTCCCCCAATCCCTCCGCCTTGCCCCCTCCCTTCCCACTTTCAAATCCCGACTAAAAACCTTTTTTTTGGTCATTCTTACAGTCAACTCCCACCTCCCCACACCCTCTACCCCTGGCTCTGCCAACGTTAAGCGCTCTGGGACCATGTTATGATCACCTGTGAATTTAACCATACAAGATGGCCCCCTACAACTTACAAACCAACAAGGGAAACAAAAGTCCCCTTATTCTGTGATAATAATAATAATAATCCTTGCATTTGATATAGCGCTTTTCACGTCTTCCCGACGTCTCAAAGCGCTTCACAGAATAGACTGTAAAGTGAATTGACTGTATATTTGTGAGCGAAACTCAGCAGCCAATTGCGCACAGCAGTGTCCCACAAACAGTCGTGGATTAAAATTGACCAATTTATTATTGTTGTGGAGGGATTATTATTAGGTGTGTGGAGTAAGGAAACTTACCCAAGGTTTCGCCCTTCCTGGAATTGATGTAGGTACATTTGGGGCTCACCGTTCTCAGAACAAGCTGGTGAGCTGCTCGCCCACATTCCACCTTGAACTTGTATTCCTTTCTGTCTCCCTTCAGCATACATCCTGCAAAACAATAATCCATGCATTCAATACAGCGTCTTATCACGTTATTTAGATGTCTCAGAGGAGTTTACTATAAAATGGATTAACTGTGTATTCTGTAAGTGAACGCAGCTGGACATTTGTGCACAGCAATTTCCTACAAATAGCCCCATTCTAACCTGGGGAATTGCTGACCAAGATGCCATGAGAAACCCCCTTATCTTTTTCAATAACATCACAGAATCTGTAAGATCTGTAACTGAAAAGGTGCAGACAGCACCTTGGTTTGACATCTCATCCTAAGGATTGCACCTGGGCAATGTATCTCTCCCCCAGCAAAGCACTGGAGCGTCAGCCTAAACGTATGTACTGAACAGTGAATATTGACCAACATGCAGAATGGAATACAGGAAATGCGACCATTCGTGTAGTCATATCATCTGTTTGCATCTTCCATGTAAGGCCAGTTTGACAAAAGGAAGTGAGAAACAAGGAACAAAAAGGTCCTCACTCTTTCCACCTGGACCCTCTCCATTGGCAATAAATATCCCAAGAAGCTTTTACAAGAGAAGGGCATTTTTCTCTCTCCCGGTGTCCTGGCCACCAATCCCCAAGATGTAAGTAATTCGATTTATTGAATGCTTCATGTGCAAACGAAAACAGTAACTATAGTTACCTGTAATTCCCTGTGAAGCACTTTGAGACTCTGGCATTAGGCTCTGGAAATACATATTCTTTCTACAATAAATCTCACATAAGTTGTATCAGTTGGGACCATACATTTAATGACTCTGGAACACTCTTCCTCTTTCAGCTTCCACCACCCTTTCAGGCAATGCATTCCAGATCTGAACAACTCGCTGTGTGAAAACATTTCTCCTCACTTCCCCTCTGTTTCTTTTAAAAACTGTTTCAAACCAGTGCACTTGGGTTACCAACCCACCCGCCAGTGGAAATAGTTTCTCCTTGTTCACTCTATCAAATCCCCTCATAATTTTGGAAACTTCTCTTAAGTCTCCTCTTAACCTTCTCTGCTCCAAGGAGAATAATCCCAGCTTCTCTCGCCTCTCCTGATAACTGAAGTCCCTCATTCCTGGGACCATCCTGGAAAATCTCCTTTGCATCCTCTCCAATGCCCTGACATCCTTCCTAAAGTGTAGTGCTCAGAACTGAACACAGTCTCGAGCTGAGGCCTAACCAGTGTTTTATATAAAGGTTCATCATAACTTCCTGACTTTTGTATTCTCTGCCCCTATTTATAAAGCTTAGTGTCCCGTATGCTTTTTTAACAGCTTTATCTCCCTCTCCTGCCACCTTCAAAGATTTACTGATATGAACCCCCAGGTCTCTCTGTTCCTTCACCCCCTTTAAGATTGTACCATCAGCTTATATTGCCTCTCCTTATTCTTCCTCCAAAATGCATCACTTCGCATTTCATTAAACTTCATCTGCCACGTGTCTGCCCATTTTACCAGTCTGTCTATGTCCTCTTGCAGTCTGCTACTATCCTCCTCACTGTTTGCTACTTCTCCTAGCTTAGTATCATCTGCAAACTTGGGAATTGTACTCCCTACACCCAAGTCCAGGTCATTTTTTGTACAGGGGAGTAAAATTTGCAATCCTCCAGTCCTCCGGCACCACTCCAGCGTCCAAGGAGGACTGAAAGTTTAGGGCCAGAGCCTCCTTGGACACACTCCAAGTTATGTCAAATGTGCATAGAATATAAACTCTTGGAACAGGAATTAGGCAGATTTACGAATTAGACGATTATACCTTTTATACAAATAGACCTGATAAGAGTTCAAAATTCTCATCCTCGCCTTGAAGGCCCTCCATGGCCTTGCCCCTTCCTACCTCTGTGACCCTGGTAATCACATATCAACCCGATTGCGCCCTCCGCTCAGTAGGCCTGCTCCACGTCCCTGCCCAACACGCCCACCATTGGCAGTTGAGCCTTCAGCCTCTCTGCCCCAACCCTTTGGAACTCCATCCCACATTCCCTTTGCATCGTACCCTCCCTTTCCTCCTTCAAGGCACGTCTCAAGACTGTCCTCTTTGACCACACCTTCAGCCACCCTCCAACCCTACAATAATAATCCTTGCATTTGATATAACGCTTTTCACGTCTTCTAGACGTCTCAAAGCGCTTCACAGAATATGCTGTAAAGTGAATTGACTGTATATTTGTGGGCGAAACGCAGCAGCCAATTGCGCACAGCAATGTCCCACAAACAGTCGTGGATTGAAGTGACCAATTTATTATTGTTTTTTGGTTTTGGAGGGATTATTATTACGCTCTGTGTGGAGTAAGGAAACTTGCCCAAGGTTTCACCCTCTGCCTGGAATTGAACTCAGGTCTCTCGCTTACAAAGTGAGTGCTCTAACCACTGAGCTACAGGACTCCACAAATCCCATCCCTCCCTGCACCCAACACCCACCACACCCCAAACCGGATCGCTGACTGTCCAGCACCTCCCATCCTCCCAATGTGAAAGGCGCGACAGAGATATAATTTTGTATTTGTAATACAAAGCATTGTGAGCGGATGACATGAAGAAGGACACAATGCTTTCAGGAAAATGACATAAACCACAACACCCGACACACACACAGCCCTGACACAACCCCCTCCCCAACACACACACAGCCCTGACACAACCCCCTCCCCAACACACACACACAGCCCTGACACAACCCCTCCCAACACACACACACACAGCCCTGACACAACCCCTCCCCAACACCACACACAGCCCTGACACAACCCCCTCCCCCACACACACACACACACAGCCCTGACACAACCCCCTCCCCAACACACACACACACAGCCCTGACACAACCCCCTCCCCACACACACACACACACAGCCCTGACACAACCCCCTCCCCAACACACACACACAGCCCTGACACAACCCCCTCCCCAACACACACACACAGCCCTGACACAACCCCCTCCCCAACACACACACAGCCCTGACACAACCCCCTCCCCAACACACACACAGCCCTGACACAACCCCCTCCCCAACACACACACACAGCCCTGACACAACCCCCTCCTGACACAACCCCCTCCCCCAACACACACCACACAGCCCTGACACAACCCCCTCCCCAACACACACACACACACACAGCCCTGACACAACCCCCCCCCCAAACACACACACACACAGCCCTGACACAACCCCTCCCCCACCAACACACACAGCCCTGACACAACCCCCCCCCCCCCCCAGCCCTGACACAACCCCCTCCCCAACACCACACACACAGCCCTGACACAACCCCCTCCCCAACACACACACACAGCCCTGACACAACCCCCTCCCCAACACACACACAGCCCTGACACAACCCCCTCCCAAACACACACACACAGCCCTGACACAACCCCCTCCCCAACACACACACACAGCCCTGACACAATCCCCACACCACAGCCCTGACACAACCCCCCCCCCAACACACACACACAGCCCTGACACAACCCCCTCCCCAACACACACAACACAGCCCTGACACAACCCCCCTCCCCAACACACCACACAGCCCTGACACAACCCCTCCCCAACACACACACAGCCCTGACACAACCCCCCCCCAACACACACACACACAGCCCTGACACAACCCCTCCCCAACACACACAGCCCTGACACAACCCCCTCCCCAACACACACACAGCCCTGACACAACCCCCTCCCCAACACACACACACAGCCCTGACACAACCCCCTCCCCAACACACACACACACAGCCCTGACACAACCCCCTCCCCAACACACACACAGCCCTGACACAACCCCCCCCAACACACACACACAGCCCTGACACAACCCCCTCCCCAACACCACACACACAGCCCTGACACAACCCCCTCCCCAACACACACACAGCCCTGACACAACCCCTCCCCAACACACACACAGCCCTGACACAACCCCCTCCCCAACACACACACAGCCCTGACACAACCCCCTCCCAACACACACACACAGCCCTGACACAACCCCCTCCCCAACACACACACAGCCCTGACACAACCCCCTCCCCACACACACACACAGCCCTGACACAACCCCCTCCCCAACACACACACACAGCCCTGACACAACCCCCTCCCCAACACACACACACACAGCCCTGACACAACCCCCTCCCCAACACACACAGCCCTGACACAACCCCCTCCCACACACACACACAAGCCCTGACACAACCCCCTCCCCAACACACACACAGCCCTGACACAACCCCCTCCCCAACACACACACAGCCCTGACACAACCCCCTCCCAACACACACACAGCCCTGACACAACCCCCTCCCCAACACACACACACAGCCCTGACACAACCCCCTCCCCAACACACACACACAGCCCTGACACAACCCCCTCCCCAACACACACACACACAGCCCTGACACAACCCCCTCCCCAACACACACACACACAGCCCTGACACAACCCCCTCCCCAACACACACACACAGCCCTGACACAACCCCCTCCCCAACACACACACACAGCCCTGACACAACCCCCTCCCCAACACACACACAGCCCTGACACAACCCCCTCCCCAACACACACACACAGCCCTGACACAACCCCCTCCCCAACACACACACACAGCCCTGACACAACCCCCTCCCCAACACACACACAGCCCTGACACAACCCCCTCCCCAACACACACACACAGCCCTGACACAACCCCCTCCCCAACACACACACACAGCCCTGACACAACCCCCTCCCCAACACACACACACAGCCCTGACACAACCCCCTCCCAACACACACACACACAGCCCTGACACAACCCCCTCCCAACACACACACACAGCCCTGACACAACCCCCTCCCCAACACACACACACAGCCCTGACACAACCCCCTCCCCAACACACACACAGCCCTGACACAACCCCCTCCCAACACACACAGCCCTGACACAACCCCCTCCCCAACACACACACACACAGCCCTGACACAACCCCCTCCCAACACACACACAGCCCTGACACAACCCCCTCCCCAACACACACACACAGCCCTGACACAACCCCCTCCCCAACACACACACAGCCCTGACACAACCCCTCCCACACACACACACAGCCCTGACACAACCCCCTCCCCAACACACACACACAGCCCTGACACAACCCCCTCCCCAACACACACACACAGCCCTGACACAACCCCCTCCCCAACACACACACAGCCCTGACACAACCCCCTCCCCAACACACACACACACAGCCCTGACACAACCCCCTCCCACACACACACACACAGCCCTGACACAACCCCCTCCCCAACACACACCACACAGCCCTGACACAACCCCCTCCCCAACACACACACACAGCCCTGACACAACCCCCTCCCAACACACACACAGCCCTGACACAACCCCCTCCCAACACACACACAGCCCTGACACAACCCCTTCCCCAACACACACACACAGCCCTGACACAACCCCCTCCCCAACACACACACAGCCCTGACACAACCCCCTCCCCAACACACACACAGCCCTGACACAACCCCCTCCCCAACACACACACACAGCCCTGACACAACCCCCTCCCCAACACACACACACAGCCCTGACACAACCCCCTCCCCAACACACACACACAGCCCTGACACAACCCCCTCCCCAACACACACACACACACACAGCCCTGACACAACCCCTCCCCAACACACACAGCCCTGACACAACCCCCTCCCCAACACACACACAGCCCTGACACAACCCCCTCCCAACACACACACACAGCCCTGACACAACCCCTCCCCAACACACACACAGCCCTGACACAACCCCCTCCCAACACACACACACACACAGCCCTGACACAACCCCCTCCCCAACACACACACACACAGCCCTGACACAACCCCCTCCCCAACACACACACACAGCCCTGACACAACCCCCTCCCCAACACACACACACACACAGCCCTGACACAACCCCCTCCCCAACACACACACACACAGCCCTGACACAACCCCTCCCCAACACACACACACAGCCCTGACACAACCCCCTCCCCAACACACACACAGCCCTGACACAACCCCCTCCCCAACACACACACAGCCCTGACACAACCCCCTCCCAACACACACACACACACAGCCCTGACACAACCCCCTCCCCAACACACAACGCCCTGACACAACCCCTCCCCAACACACACACACAGCCCTGACACAACCCCTTCCCCAACACACACACACAGCCCTGACACAACCCCCTCCCCAACACACACACACACAGCCCTGACACAACCCCCTCCCCAACACACACACACACAGCCCTGACACAACCCCTCCCCAACACACACACACACAGCCCTGACACAACCCCCTCCCCAACACACACACACAGCCCTGACACAACCCCTCCCCAACACACACACAGCCCTGACACAACCCCCTCCCAACACACACACAGCCCTGACACAACCCCCTCCCCAACACACACACAGCCCTGACACAACCCCCTCCCCAACACACACACACACAGCCCTGACACAACCCCTCCCCAACACACACACAGCCCTGACACAACCCCCTCCCAACACACACACACACAGCCCTGACACAACCCCCTCCCCAACACACACACACACACAGCCCTGACACAACCCCCTCCCAACACACACAGCCCTGACACAACCCCCTCCCCAACACACACACAGCCCTGACACAACCCCTTCCCCAACACACACACACACAGCCCTGACACAACCCCCTCCCAACACACACACACAGCCCTGACACAACCCCCTCCCCAACACACACACACACAGCCCTGACACAACCCCCTCCCCAACACACACACAGCCCTGACACAATCCCTCCCCAACACACACCACAGCCCTGCCCCCCCCCCGGGCCCAGCTGGTCCTCACCGAACATGTAGACACTGGGGGTGACCAGACTCGGGTACTGCGGGTCCCTCTTCTCCTCCATCGCTTCTCTCCCCTGCGGACCGGAAGTCGCGTCCTGGCGCAGGTGATTGACAGGCCCCAGCCGCCCGCCTCACAACCAATCACAGCGCGGCGGGGCGGAGCCTCCGGGCGGCCTGACACACGTCACCGCAGTCACACCGCAGGGAGCGGGAGAGGGCGGGAGGAGGCTGATGCCAGCCAATCAGACGGCTTGTGCTGCGGCCGCGGCCGATTGACGGGGCTCTCGTCCAATCAGCGGGTGGGATGCATGTGACAACAAGAATGGTCCTCCCCACACAGACCCAGAGGTGTGTGGGAGCACTGGGCAGGGGGTCAGGTCAGCAGCATCTATAGAGAGAGGGCAGTGAGGCAACCTTTGGGGTCCTTGACCCTTCGTGAGAGCGGGTCCGCCATGCTGCTGGTCACTTATTCCGCGTTTCATTTTTTTCAATGAAAAGAATGTCATTTCACTGCTCGGGACCCAGTGTCCCAGAGCATTCCTGGCTTCCTCTGGGATTCCAGACAGTTCCTGGGGTGGATCCCATGGAATTTGGGAAAGGCCAGTGAATTCAGAGTTTTCCCCGGGCATTTCGGGTTTCGAAGGAAGGTTTTCAACTGGCACCGCCTTGCATCACCTCCGGAACATGGCCAGACTACGGCACTACCTCACCCCTCACGCGGCTGAAACTCTGGTCCACGCCTTTATCACCTCAAGGCTGGACTATGGGAAATCTCTCCTCGCCGGCCTTCCCGCACCTCCCTCCACACTGCAGGTCATTCAGAACTCTGCAGCTCGTGTACTGTCCCGCACCAGACACCGCGACCACATCACTCCCACCCTCGCTCGCCTCCACTGGCTCCCCATCCCCAAGAGGATCGAATTCAAGATCCTCATCCTCACCTACAAGGCCATTCACGGCCTTGCTCCCTCCTACCTCTCCAACCTACTATCCCCTACCTACCTGCCCGTACACTCCGTTCCTCTGGCTCCGGTCTGCTCCACATCCCCCGCCCCAACCGCTCTACCATCGGTGGCCGGGCCTTCAGCCTCTCAGCCCCGAGGCTCTGAACTCCATCCCCCAGTGCCTTCGCCGCCTCCTCCCTTTCCTCCTTCAAGGCCGGTCTCAAAACCTTTCTCTTTGACCGAGCCTTCAGCTCCCCTCTCGACTCTCTTACCCCTCCTCGCTCCCTCCCTTCCCTCCCCTCACCCTGACCATTTCCCCCCTCCTCGCTCCCTCCCTTCCCTCCCCTCACCCTGACCATTTCCCCCTCCTCGCCCCCCCTTCCCCCTCACCCTGACCATTTCCCCTCCTCGCTCCCTCCCCTCACCCTGACCATTTCCCCCCTGCTCGGGTCATGACCCAACTGTGCAGCGCCTTGGGACGTCCTCCTGACGTGAAAGGCGCTTTATAAATGGAATCTTGTTGTTGTTGTTTCAGGGATCCCAGATAATTCCCGTTATCTCTGATAATTCCCGTTATCTCTGATAATTCCTACTATAACCTGGATAATCGTGGAATCCCGTAGCATAGTGGTTAGAGCTAAAAAAGAAGTAATTTTTCAAATGAATAAATAATTTGGTCACTCAATCCACGACTGTTTGTGGGACACTGCTGTGCGCAATTGGCTGCTGTGTTTCACCCACAAAATATAGAGTCAATTCACTATGCAGTATATTTTGTGAAGCGCTTTGAAACGTCTCGAAGACGTGATAAGGCGCTTTATCAAATACAAAGATTATTATTATTATGATAATAATTATTGAGTGACCAAACTCCATGATGGCGCAGAGGAGATGAAAGTACAACTGAGTTAGCTGAGTGGAGGGACGAGCAAAGGAGTGAAGTAATAGAAAATCACAGAAACAGGCAGGCGCTGGGCTATGAAAGTTGTGAGTGAGGACCTAAACAGCAACCTGTTGGAAGCCAAGGAGCCATTGGACCTGGCGGTTATGATCATGAGGAGTTTGGTGCAGATGAGGGTGTGAGCGGCGGGCGGAGTTTTGAATGAGCTGCAGCTTGTGGATGTTGGTACTGGGGAGGAGTTATCAGGGAAAGGTTGATTCAGGAGGTAACAAATGATACCATAGCGCTCCACCAGTACTGCGATGGAATGTCAGCTTGAAGTCAACTCAGTTCCTGACGTGGGTCTTTAAGCCCAAACTTTCTGAACCAAAACTAATGGAGCTGCCAACTGAGCCTGGCCGACACCTGATGGCGCTGTTTAGCAGTCGACTGACAAAATAACCAACTCTCCTGAAGGATATCAGCTCCCAATCAGGTGCCTTTTGCTCCCTGTATTTGTTGTGCAGGTTACACGTTATGTGTTGTCTACAAACAATTAAAGGGACAATGTTTTAATAATAATAATCCTTGCATTTGATATAGCACCTTATTACATCATTGAGACGTCTCAAAGTGCTTCTCAAAATTGTAAAGTGGATTGACCAAAGATTCACCAAAGAAAAACCCAACAAAGAGACAGATTAGGAGACATTTTCTTTGCACAGCTGGTTATTGGGATATAGAATGCCCTGCCAAACTGTTTGGAGCGGACTCCACACTAGTTTTTGATATCAACAGCTTGTATTTATACAGAGCCCTTAATAATAATAATCCCTGCATTTGATATAGCGCTTTATCATCTCATCAAGACATTGCAATGCACTTCACAGGATTTACTGTAAAGTGCAGTGGCTGTGTATTCTGTGAGCGATACACGACAGCCAGTTTACGCACAGCAACGTCCCACATACATCCACGGAGGGAGTGATTTTACTTGGGGGATTCTTGGTCAGGATATCGGCAGATAGATACTCCCTTCTCTTTTTGAATAGTGCCATGGGATCTTTAACTTTCACCTAAACAGGCAGACTAAAGGACAGAACCTCCAACAATGCAACAACCCCCCCAGCACTGGACTGGAGTGTCATTTAGACTAAGAGATTCCAAGCCCCAACGTGGGGCTTGAACCCACAAACCTTCTGACTCAGAGGCGAGAATTCTACCCCTGCACCAGACTGACATACATCAAAAAAAATTCATATAGCACCTTTCTTTTTGGCAGGATTGCTGCAATGTATAATGACACTTGTCTCTGAGTCAGAAGACTATAGGTTCAAGCCCCACATCAGGACTAGTTTAGGCTGACAGTCCAGTGCTGTTCTGTGAGAGTAACGCATTGCTGGAAGTGCCTTCCTTTGGTTGTGACATTCAACCGAGTTCCCTGTCTGTACCCGTTCAGGTGGACTTTCCCGCGGCACTATTGGCAAAGAGAAGAGAGTTTCACTGGGTGTGCTGGTCAACAATCCCCCAGATAAAATTGGACCTTCACTTTTTTGGCTGATTGTGGGACATTGCTGTGTGCAAATTAGCTATTGAGTTCACCCACAAAGTGCACAGTTACTACAAAACACTAGTAATTCCTGCACTTTGAGATATTCTCTTGATGACAAATAATAATAATAATCCTTACATTTGATATAGTTGGGTCACGATGAAATGATAATGTGTGGGAAGGAGTTCAGTCCATTTGGATTGGGTACAATAATAATAATCCTTGCATTTAATATAACGCCTTATCACGCAGTGGAGATGTCTCAAAGTGCTATACTGACTTATACAGAATATACTGTAAAGTGAATTGACTATATTTTGTGGGCGGAACATGGCAGCCAATTGCGCACAGCAGTGTCCCACAAACAGTCATGGTTTGAATGATCAAATATTATATTTTCGAAAGGATTATTACACTAAATGCATTTTCCATTATTTATAAGATGGGGCAAACTATCAATAAAGTACAGAAAGACACAACAACAACAACTTGCATTTACATAGCTCCCTACACGCTGGGTAGCATCCCGGAGCGCTTGACAGTGACGGAGTCTGACAACGAACTGGGGGAGAGGAGTGGGGTGGAGTGAGGTTGACCGTAAGCACGATCAGAAAGGAAGGTCTTTATGTGGTATTTGAAGGTGGAGAGAGAGGGGACAAGGTGGAGTGATTGAGGAAGAGAGTTCCAGAGTTTCGGGGTATCGTGGCTGAAGACACGGCCACCGATGGTGGAACGGAGGGCATGAGGGATGAACAAAAGGCTGAAGCCAGCAGAGCGGAGACAGCGGCGGGTGGAGTGGGGATAAGCAGGTCAGATAGGTAGGGAGGTGCAAGGGCATGAAGGATTTGAAAACGAGTGAGAGGATCTTGAAATCGATCCATTCAGTGATTGGGAGGCAGGGGAGCCTGGCAAGGACTGGTGTGATGGGGTACAGAGTTTCATGCGGGTGAGAGTATCATGGCAACAGAGTTTTGGATTAATTGGATTTTGTGTACAGTGGAGCTGGGGAGACCATACAACAGTAAGAGGTTGGAATGGCTATCTGCAAGTCATAAATCAGTGCTAATGTATCCTCTAACTTAGGAGGATTTACAGCCAGTTTTTCTGGACATGCCCTCCAGGTTAATGCACCCACAAGTGACACTTAAAACCATGATGCATTTCAAATGTCAAGTGGAAGGAAACAGAAAACAAATAAACATTCCCTGTTGTTTACATTTGCACCAAAAAGTATTTTGAAATGGAGGTAAGTTTAGAACATAATAATTTTCCTTGCATTTAATACCATCTTGAAACATCCCAAATGCTTACCAGGGTATACGGTATGGATGCCATAGATAATAATAATGATAATAATAATAATCCTTGCATTTGTTATAGCACCTTATCATGTCATTGACTTGCCTCAAAGCGCTTCACAGAATTGTACGCAGCAGTATCCCTAAACAATGGTGGATTGAGTGATGACATTTTTTTAGAGCGATGATTGTCCCCAGAAAGCGATCCTCCAATCGATTAACAACTGGGTTCCTACTTAACAGAGCTGTGTTGAGTAAGGAAACTTGCCTAAGGTTTCGCCCTGGGTTTCGAACCCGAGTCGTCTAGCTCGCGAGGCGAGTGCTCTAATCAACACTCCACAGGACTCCACAACACAGAGAACTTCCCATTATTGCATTTGAGTGTCAGCCTAGACTGTGAGCTCAAAATCCCCATGTGGGGCTTCAACCC